ATGGCAACAAATCTGGGCGCCTCCTGGCCACGCTACTCAGGCGCAAGCAAATGCAAATGTATATACCAAAGATCAAGGACCCCACACAACAAGTACACCATCTCCCAGACGAGATCTCGCAGACATTCCAACAATATTACCAATCGCTGTACAACATAGTGGCGGATCGATCACGGGACCCGACGACCAAGACTGCGGCGATTCAACAATACCTCATCTCCATGAACTTACCATGTCTGTAGAATCATACCATGGAATCCCTGGAGGCACCCATCTCTGAGGTGGAACTAGCCTACGCAATCAAAAAAGAACAGAATGGTAAATTGCCGGGAACCGGACGGCCTGCCTCTAGTGTATTACAAGACATTTCGGGCAGAGCTACTTCCAAAGCTGTTGGCAGCCTTGAATGCTATCATGGAAGATGCCAGACACTCACTGCAATTCACTTCGGTCAATATCACACTTCTACCCAAAGAGGACAAACACACCACCCTGTGCCAGAGCTACCGATGAATTTCGATACTCAAAACCGACCTCAAGCTTCTCTCCAAGGTTCTAGCCAGTCGCCTCTCTCCCCTACTGCCAAATACCATCAAACCGGACCAAACAAGGTTTATCCTGGGAAAGGAGGTCCAAGATAATACTATTAGAGCACTGAACATGATAGCGATGGCACGCCACGGAGGCCTACCAGTTCTACTCCTGTCCAAAGATGTGGAAAAAGCATTTGAAAGGGTAGACTGGGAGTTCATGTTTGAAGTCCTGTGCACACTGGGCATCTTTCCAAAGTTCCTCTCATGGATCTCTGCCCTATTCTCCAACCCGTCGCTCGTTTATGCATAAATGGAACCTTATTGGATGTGTTCCCAATTTTTAAAGGAACACGGCAAGGCTGCCCGCTCTCTCCCCTCCTTTTTGCACTGACGCTGGAGCCTTTTTTGAATATGTTCAGGAGCAAAGAGGCTATATAGGGCATACGGACATATCTGAGCACAAAGACCTGGCCTATGCAGACGACCTGCTATTTGTAGTGTCGAACCCGGCCTCCTCATTACCAATTATTATGGCTGAATTCAACCTACTTGCTACACCACACGACCAATACAGTATAGAGATACAAACGCTCGGTGGTACCGCATCTCCTGAACGCAGCTAAAGTGGTGATCCTGACCAGTTGGCGCCATGCATGGACCCCTAAAATCAAACAGTTGGTGGAGTAGGTGGAAGACACCAAGAGATTTGAAGACCTGAAAGCTGCTACGGTCAAGGAGCAGGAACGATATACCCAGCGATGGTTCTACTGGCTGGAATTCCTGGCATCACCGGACTTCATCCGAACCACGAATGGCTAACTACTACACACCCACCCCCCTTCACTCGCTCCACTTCCTCGCCCCCCCCTTCCCCATTGACTATACTCCACAAGGCTGGGTGCTGCCCGGCTGGTGCCCGAGGTACTTCTGGGCCGGCATGCCCCGATTGGGTTGGGGTGACTGAGACTGATGCGGGGGTAGGGGAAGGAGGAGGGCACTAGTCATACAGGATATCAACACGCTCAGTAAGAATGAGGGAGTACTCAGTTGACAGGATATAGAGTTAAAGGTCACACTGGTCTCGATCAGACGATCCAGGGCTGATGGGACACTACTACTTACTGTGTTGAGATCACTCTGATTTGACAACTATCTATCCTGTACGTATGAAATCTAGTCATAGACAAGTGCAAACATATGCCTAATATGCATAGGTGTGCGCAGCCTATTGCATTAGGGTGTGCACTCTAAAGCACAAACACACACACTGCGTGTATATGTATTTCTATAGATACATACACACACATACATATGTATACATAGATACATACATACACACATATATATACAAATACAAATATACATAGGTGCAGTGTGTGTGATTGTGAGGGGTGCAGCGTGTGTGTAATTGTGAAGGGTACAGTGAGTGTGTAATTGTGAAGGGTGCAGTGTGTGTGGGTACAGTGTGTGATTGTGAGGGGTGCAGTGTGTGTGGGGTACAGTGTGTGTGATTGTGAGGGGTGGGTTGTAGTGTGAGAGAAGCTTTGCAGGCTAGGATAGGGGTCCGAGAGGGAGCAGCTATTTAATTTAAATGGAGGGGCAGTGACATGGGATAAGGGGGGTGGAGGGGCAGTGAAAGAGTGTAGAGGGGTGGAGGAGCAGTGACAGGGGGTAGGTGGTGGAGTTGCAGTGACATGGGGTAGGGGAGCAGTGACAGGGGATAAGGGATGGAGGAACAGTGGTAGAGGGTAAGGGAGCAGTGACAGGGGGAAGGGGGTGGAGGAGCTGTGACATGGGGCATGGGGTCACTGACAGGGAGTAGGGGGTGGAGGGTCAGTGACAGGGGGTAGAGGGGAAGTAACATGGGGTAGTGGTGGTGGAGGAGCAGTAAGAGCGGGTAGGGGGGCAGTGACAGGGTAGTGGGTAGAGGGGCAGTGACATGGGGTAGGGGGGTAGAGGGGCAGTGACATTGGGTAGGGGGTAGGGGGTGGAGGAGCAGTGACAGGGGGTAGGGGGGCAGTGACAGGGGGTAGGATTGGAAAAGCAGTGACAGGGGGTAGGGGGAGTGAAGGGGCAGTGACAGGGGGTGGGGGGGATGGAGGGGCAGTGACAGGGGGTAGAAGGGGTTATAAATGCCTTCCCTGGTGGTCAGTGGGCGCCCTCTCTCTTCAGTGACCAATAATTCATTATTTCTGGATTTTTTATATGGAAATTGGTTGAGCAAATGCAGTAAGGCAGGGTACTTTTTATGTTATCGTCGCCCCACCCCTCCCCCGTCCCTCCCCCATATTTTTTAAGGCAATAGTTATTATAATAATTATAAAAAAATTATTATTTTTTCTTTGTTATCATGACTTGTTGAGAACAATTTGAAAACGGATACATTTGATCACGTAGTACACATATTCTTTATTTGTATTAATTTATATATTAATGCGTTTTTATTTCCAAAAATGCATGTAATTTATTTTAGTTTGTTATGAATGAATGATTCTACTATTTTTGTGCATATGTATAAAGTTAATTCATCCCTGCAGATATACTTATTGCTTGTTATACTGAGAATTGATATACAATGAGAGAAACTGAAATGTAGTGCTTCAAAATAACTACCGCTTGTGGAGCAGTTCTGTGTAATATTTCTAAAGACTCTTCTATTAGTAAAGGAACAGTACAACTCCTGCTGGCAGTTTTATCAAGCATGTGGACAAACGAAAGGAAAGATCAAGATCACCTTTGGTAAAAGAAAGATCAACATCTAAGCTGTAAGGAGATGTTCTGTACTCCTTTGTGCAGCCCAAAAACAAATTTGACTTGTAAGAACTA